TAATAATAATAATAAATTTTTGTCTTCCACTTAAAAATTATCCATCCTCATTCATAATTTATACTGTCATTGTTTGGTGATTTTTACCCGCAATGATCAGTTTATTGCCCCATCTATGGGAGATATAATATATATATATATATATATATATAAAAAAAAAAAAAAAAAAAATAATAATAATAAATTTTTGTCTTCCACTTAAAAATTATCCATCCTCATTCATAATTTATACTGTCATTGTTTGGTGATTTTTACCCGCAATGATCAGTTTATTGCCCCATCTATAGATATAATATATATATATATATATAAAAAAAAAAAATAATAATAATAATCCTTGACCACTACCAAAGCGCTATCTATTCCCAAGCTAAGCAGCGCTTTATAATACTTATATAAATAGTTAGATACGTTTTTTAGTAAATACATACATAATATACATAAAAACCCAGACTAATACAAACAGTTAAAGCTAAATCGCTTGATGTACGTCTAAGATAATTCTACAAATCAAAGGCGACCGCTTAGCGATTTAGCCTTACTTCCTATGGTCGCGGGTTCAATACTCCCAAGATACAAACAAATATAAAGAAATACCATATTGATAATAAAAAAATATTACCCATAATTACACCGATATCGAATGACATACTATCGGAATGCAGGTCCCGTATTAGAAAACTCAGTTACCCATAACTACACTGATACCATACTATCGGAATGTAGGTCCCGTATTAAAAAACTCATTACCCATAACATCGATATCGGAATGTAGGTCCCGTATTAAAAAGAACTCAGTTACCCATAACAACACCGATATCGGAATGTAGGTCCCGTTTTAAAAAACTGTTACCCATAACAACATCGATATCGGAATGTCGGTCTTGTGTTAAAAAACTCAATTAATAACAACACCGCTATCGGAATGTAGGTCCCGTATTAAAAAAAACTCAGTTACCCATAACAACACCGATATCGGAATGTAGATCCCGTATTAAAAAAAACTCAGTTACTCATAACAACACCGATATCGGAATGTCGGTCCCGTTTTAAAAAACTCTGTTACCCATAACAACACCGATATCGGAATGTAGGTCCCGTATTAAAAAAAACTCAGTTACCCATAACAACATCGATATCGGAATGTAGGTCCCGAATTAAAAAGAACTCAGTTACCCATAACAACATCGATATCGGAATGTAGGTCCCGAATTAAAAAACTCAGTTACCCAGAACTACACCGATATCGGAATATAGGTCCCGTTTTAAAAAACTCAGTTACCCATAACAACACCGATATCGGAATGTAGGTCCCGTATTAAAAAACTCAGTTACCCATAACAACACCGATATCGGAATGTAGGTCCCGTATTAAAAAACTCAGTTACCCATAACAACACCGATATCGGAATGTAGGTCCCGTATTAAAAAAAACTCAGTTACCCATAACAACACCGATATCGGAATGTAGGTCCCGTATTAAAAAACTCAGTTACCCATAACAACACCGATATCGGAATGTAGGTCCCGTATTAAAAAGAACTCAGTTACCCATAACTACACCGATATCGAATGCCATACTATCGGAATGTAGGTCCCGTATTAAAAAACTCAGTTACCCATAACAACATCGATATCGGAATGTAGGTCCCGTATTAAAAAACTCAGTTACCCATAACAACATCGATATCGGAATGTAGGTCCCGTATTAAAAAACTCAGTTATTAAATACCATACTATCAAAATGTAGGTCCCGTATTAAAAAACTCAGTTACCCATAACAACACCGATATCGGAATGTAGGTCCCGTATTAAAAAACTCAGTTACCCATAACAACACCGATATCGAATGCCATACTATCGGAATGTAGGTCCCGTATTAAAAAGAACTCAGTTACCCATAACTACACCGATATCGGAATGTAGGTCCGTATTAAAAATAAACTCAGTTCCCCATAACAACATCGATATCGGAATGTAGGTCCCGTAATAAAAAACTCAGTTACCCATAACAACATCGATATCGGAATGTAGGTCCCGTATTAAAAAACTCAGTTACCCATAACAACACCGATATCGGAATGTAGGTCCCGTATTAAAAAACTCAGTTACCCATAACTACACTGATACCATACTATCGGAATGTAGGTCCCGTATTAAAAAACTCAAATAACAACATCGATATCGGAATGTAGGTCCGTATTAAAAAACTCAGTTACCCATAACTACACTGATACCATACTATCAAAATGTAGGTCCCGTATTAAAAACTCAGTTCCCCATAACAACATCGATATCGGAATATAGGTCCGTATTAAAAAACTCAGTTACCCATAACAACACCGATATCGGAATGTAGGTCCCGTATTAAAAAACTCAGTTACCCATAACAACACCGATATCGAATGCCATACTATCGGAATGCAGGTCCCGTATCGCTAGAACCTGTCGCATTTTCAAGTTGGCCTCCCAGACGAGTTCCAGCGCTAATTTTGTGAGCTTCCTCTTATCAGGTTTTGTCATTTCGTCATTTCTGTCCCATGGGTTGCTGTACACCATCCCTATAATCACTGATAACAAAATACGTTTCTCAACTATTACCCGCGACATTGCTTGTACAAGTATTATGTAAAGAGAGAGAGATATATATATATAAGCATATATCTATGTATTTGTATCAGTTATCTAGTACCCGTAACACAAGCTTTATATAGCTTAACTTGGGACTAGATGGCGCTGTGTGAATTGTCCTGAGATTATTATTATTATATATCTTATATATAAAATTCTCGTGTCACAGTTTTCGTTCCCATACTCCTCCGAAACGGCTTGACCGATTCTCATGAAATTTTGTGAGCGTATTGAGTAGGTCTGAGAATCATTTAGGCCAATGAAAAATAGATGTTGGCATCTATTTTTCATCCCCCTAAATGTTAGGGGTAGTCCACCCCTATATTTTTTTTTATTTTAAGACAAACAACGTTTGCCGGGACAGCTAGTACATATATATGTATATAAAAGTAAGTCAGCGAAACTCAAAGTCGCCTTTCCCTATCTTTTCGCTTAGATCTTTTAAACTACGCAACGGATTTTAATGCGGTTTTTAGGAATAAATAGAGTGATTTTAGAGGATCTCAGTGAATTGTCCAGGGGTATTATAAAAAAAATGTCATTATTTGACGGCCTTGGTGGTCTAGCGGTATAGCACAACGCCTTACTTCCAATGGTCGCGAGTTCGATTCCTCGCACGGAACAAATATTTGTATTCATGAGTATGATTGTTTGTAACAGTCTGGGTGTTTTTTATGTATATTATGTATGTATTTACAAAAAGAATATCTTAGTATTTATATCAGTTGTCTAGTACTCATAACACAAGCTCTGCTTACCGTGGGACTAGATGGCGTTGTGTGAATTGTCAAGGATTATTATATAAAAGATTTTCATTTTAAACTTACCTAAATAAAATAGTGTTGTTTTAAAATTAAGCATGTTTAATTTTGTTCACAACAAACGGTTAAAATAGGTAATAAAATGTTTCAATTATTACGTTTTGCTAAATTTTATCATGGTGAAATAAATTGAAGGAAAATTAATATACATTTATTGATTAATTACAGCGTATGTATATGCAATGAAATCGGAGGTGGCCTTTTTAAAAATTCCGCGATAATAGTTCACTACTGTGGGCCTTTACAGCTTCACCTTACGATAGGGGGCGAGTGCAGATGGCACTCCAAACCAAAGGAAGGACTTATGGAGCGGCTGAAGGACAACTTCCGCCTGACGGATACGACTTTAGTCTGAGGGGCCTGATAGGGATTCAGACATTATTGAATCGAATCGATATCGATCGGAGAGTTTAAACCATACATATATTGTTTTAATTATTTATTCTTTAATCTATACATCTATACATATAAATAAAATTGGAGTGTCTGTTTAGAATATTGAAATAACCGTTTCTTACTACATGCATATGAATATAAATACGGTACATACACCAAAATAACATTTTATGCCATTTTTATCTGTCTGTCTGTCTGTTCCGGCTAATCTCGGAAATCCTGGACCGATTTTGAAAGGTTTTTTTTTAGGTAGCTGATGTAATATGGAGTAACTTAGGCTACTATTATTTTAGAAAAATAAAGTTAAATTCCACGCGGTCCACGTACTACGGGTCTTTATTCTTCTAGTGGAATATAACTTGTACAAAAAGGCAAGATTGATGCCGCGTGGCATTCTCAGGTATATAGAAAGTGTTGAAGGGCAGTTATAAAGAAAAACGATCATAAAGTTACTAATAAAAATTATATAATATTTATTAAATGCAAAAAAATGACAAACGAGCATGCGGCTCACCTGATGGTAAGTGATTACCGCCGCCCATTAGCATCCGCAACACCAGGGAAATTGCAAGTACGTTGTCGGCCTTTTAAAAAGGAATAAGCTCTTTTCTTGAAGGTTTCAATATCGTATCGGTTCGGAAATACCATTGCTGGAAGGTGATTCCACAATATGGTTGTGCGAGGCAAAAAGTTTCTAGAAAACCGCACTGTGGAAGACCGCCATTCATCCAGATGATCAGGATGGTATTTCAGTTTCTGGCGGGTGGTACGGTGGTGAAATTCAGCAGCTGGTATTAATCCGAACAATTCCTCAGAACACTCCCCGTGATATATGCGGTAGAAAATGCACAGAGATGCAATATCACGCCGCAAAGCCAATGGGTCGAGTCTGTCACATAGACGTTGACCTTTGTCAACGTCTGTGTGTTTGTATTTGAGTCATATATATTTATTTTTATTTATCACGTGCGCCACCTACCCTGTTCTTATTTTTATTTCTCTATCCACCTAAAGGTAGTCTGGAACAGATTGCTTAGCGATAAGACCGCCTTTTGCATCAATGTATATTTTCTATTTTAATTGTTTTTGTTTTTGTTCTGTAATTGGTGCAATAAAGAGTAAAAATAAAAAAAATACATAATTAACAAAACAATTGTTAGCAGTATGATTAGGGGCTGTATTTATATGCAGGTTAAGTTGTATATAAGTATTTTATTCTAATAAAAGTAAATTTCAGACATACATAGTTATATAGAAGAGTTTAAAATAATTAGCAATGAGAACTACAATAGTTTATAACAATGTCTGCAGAAGAAACCATTTTGTAGTTAGTTTTCCCGCGCAAACGCAGTGCGCCACAGATGCACAAATGTTGCGCGGTGCGCAGATGCAGTAGGATGAGCGCGTCACGGCAGCATGCGCAATGTTAATACTTTCAAGATCTTTACAAATTTGCCCAAAAAAGGAATCGTGTCCAACTGCCATCATATTATTATTTTTTTTTTTCTCTTTATTTTTTTTTTTGGGATTTTTGTGCACATAATGTGACGATGACAATCCCATCGTACCTATACTAATTAACAAAAATAAACTAAAAAAACTTAATCTAATATGATACCATCCAGAACAATAACTTGGCTGCATCGGAAGCTGGTTCTGCCAATATTTCATGGAATACTCCTACGTCTAACCTATTTAACATTAAAGCTTGGATGGTATATTCTCTTTTATATGCGTTACGAACACATTCCATTAAAATATGATGCAGATCTTCTTCTTTTCCACAAGCTTCACAATTAGGGGATATCTTTTTTTTCATTAAATAAGCAAATTTATTTAATGGAATGTGTCCGGAACGCAGTCTATTCGCAATAAATCATATTATTCACTTGTAGCATTAGTGTTATGAACGTGGAATATTAAATCAACCATATGATTTATTTCTATTGCATCGTTCGACATTTGCTCATAAGCATTTATGTGTTCAATTGGTTTCCACTCATCATAATATCTGCTTAATGTCAAAGATATATCTGTCATTACATTGAATTTATCAGTCAGATCACCCATAAGGTAACCTATTTGGAAGCCCGTTGAATTCTGATAGTACATCTGAAAAAGTTCAGCCCTTTTTGTTTTTAAATCGCTATCTTTGACAGTTTCGTACATTAGTCTGAACAGTTTCATTTTCATGTCTGTATCTTCTGTAGTATCCGTTTCTGATAGTGTTGTTGTAGTTTCTGCACTGTCTTGTTGTCTTTTTATTAATAATGCTTTTCTATTCTCTTTAAAACGTGCTGCTTCAGATAATGTTTCACTTTTAATAGCTTCTTGACTTTTGATATTCCTTTGAGAATATGTATTAGACACTTCTTTTCTTGTTTTATGATTTGGTAATAATTGATTTGCATCTACGTTTTCAGATGAAACAGCATGGTTCTCATTGTAATATTTCATATATTCTATATTGTTTTTAGTTTTAGGATTTGCTAATTTAGTATTGTCTTTACTCATTTCTCCTGCTATTATTCCTTTACGATTATTTAAAATATGATTAATTTCAGTATTTTTCTTAGGTATACTAAAAGGTTTTACATGAGTTCTTCTTTTGTAGATGTCTATTATATTCATTCTATAAACTGATTGTCTAGGAAGTATCAATGACGCAATGCCCACTCTCCTTATTTTGTCCGTCTGTGTTTCAGTGAATTCTTTTAGTAGTTTCAATTTGACAATCCAAGATACATCTTTAAGAATGCTCTTCTCAAGCGATGATATATTCATAGAAGTGGCTATAGTACCTGGAATTGAAAAGAGTTGATTACCATAAATAATACCAATACTATATTTGTAGAATCAAATGCATTCTTTGATTCAATGTTGCTTCAAATAATAACGCATTAATACTAGTACATCATGTAAAAGAAAAAGAAATTAAAATGGAAAACTATTACTTAGACATAATATAAAAAATTACAATAATGAGATAAGAATAAGAAGAAATAAATAAACTAGAAGATACTATTTTTAGACAATTATTTATAGGTACAATTATGAATGCAATTGTTATTTATTTCAATAAAAAAATGTTGATAGTTAATTGAAAACGCTATAAGATGAATCAATCTTTATTAAAGTAACAATAAAAAACTCAAAACTCCTTCAAAATTCTTCAATTTATTTATTTATTTATTAGTATATAATAAAAATTACAATCGAAACAAGAATATGATTAGGAGCATGTAGTTTGATACAAAACTGGATTGTAATCCAACACTATGTATGCCTAAAGTTGTAGGTTTGGTAATTTTGTAATAGAATTGGTTAGACCAATATTTTATAATGCGGTTCCATTTTGTTTATGAATGGTTTTAATCAAATCTATGAGGTGGCTCACTTCGATTGCTTGATTAGCAATCTGCTCATATGCATTTATATGCTCCATTGGTTTCCATTCATTAAAGTTTTCTTTCATTGTCATCGATACATCTGTCATTATATTATATTTGTCTGTGATATCTCCCATAAGGTAACCGATTTGGAAAACTGAGGAATTTTCATAATTGTGTTTAAGAAGTTGTGCTCTCTTTATTTTAAGATCACTGTCTCTTATAGATTCATGCATTAAACTAAACAACTTCTTCTTCATGTCGGTATCATCTGTATTCTGTGGTACGTTAGTTATTGTAGCTTCGATATCCTCTTGGCGTCTCATTGGTAACTGCTTATCAAAATTTTGTTTATTGTGTTGTGTTTCTTCAAATGGTATTGCAGAATCTTTATTGTTACTATCGCGTTTATTTGTTTCTTTCTTCTTCTCTATTTCATAAAATCTTCTCAGTTTCAAAGGTCCTATTGTCCCTTTTGTCGATTTATCGTACATATGTTTGTAGGCACATATACTTTCTTCGGTTACTAGATTCTTTTTTGATATAACTAGTGGTATTACATACGCTTTTCTTTCAGTATTCATATCATCGGTAGCGTAAATTGAACGTCTTGGTGAAATTAAAGCTGCAACACCTATATTTCTGTGTGTTTTCTTCTTTTCTTCTTCTGTAGTATCGCTTAATAATTTCAACTTCACAGCCCAAGATATATCCTTTAATATCTTCTTTTCTAGTGGTGTGATATCCGTAGAAGCAGATAAAATACCTGCAACGAAATGTTACTATTGATAATATACTTAGATTGATACATTTTTCGATTCATTTGTTTATAGATTCTACTGCAGAATTATTAAAAATAAAGCTTCCGCTTGCTTTTTGTTTTTAGGTAAATCTCGCATGTTCATTATGATTATACGTTACGTAAATAAAAAACATTACAATATTCTTTTTAAATCTTTATTATTCTAATCATTGTATTATTAAACAGCAAGAGGAGTGATATATTCTTCCCCTGGCACGTTCGATTGGAATATATTCTCTATTCTTTAGTTAAATGTTGTTTTCACAAGTGTGTGGACTTTTGACGCCGTCTTTGTCATCATCATTCTTGCCATTTGTCATTGTAGTTGTAAGAATATATTTATATTTTTTATTTATTAGCATACATGACAATGAACATTTTCTCAAAATAAACATCTATAATCTACCCAAAAGCGATGGCGTCTTTATTGATACCTACGATGTTACCATTCATAATCTATTTCCCATCCATACTCTATGGGCCACCACCATCTCGTCGTTCTCCTCTTAGTCGAGTGCATGTCGTATATAATTTTCTGCAATTGATTCAATCCTTTCGGTTTCCTTCGTTTCGTCCTCTTCTCTCGCGTTGCAATAGAAAAGAAAGGTTTATCTCCACGCGGTTTTGTAGAAGTCGCATCTGTTTTTGATGTTGTTTTAGTACGTTTCGTTGTTGTTCTATTCAAGTTTGGATCTCCCTTTGTTGTAGTTGGTGTAACTGCATATTTCCTTTCAATCTCATGCAGCATGTTGGAGTAATGCTCAATCTGCCAATAATGTCGTTCAATCTCAAGTAAATGCAACGTTATCTCATGCAGATACAGTCTAACCCCCAAAGTTATAGTAAAGTTGTACTTATCAACCATCTTTCTATATTCTTCTTGGATTGTATACATAATGTAGCCAGTTTCGAACGGTGCTGATCGAAGATTGTCCTGCCTTATATATTCAAGCTTCTCAATTTTAACATCTGTGTCGAGGACTAAATCAGCCGTGGCGTTTAAGAGTAATTTAACAGATTCAATATCTTTTTTGTCTTTAAGAAATTTCCATAGATCTGCTGAGCATAATGTTATTTGGTCTGTAAAGAAAATGTCATCTGAACTAATATTATGAATGGATTTGTTTGTTTGTATGTGATAAACTCGGAAAATACATACTATGAATGATTAATAATTAATATTTTTTCTCTAAGTTTTGTGGAAAATACCCACAGCAAATTTATCAATTCTTCTTGGCGGTTTAAAATAATAAAAACATTTCTTTCATTTTAGATGGTCTATTCACAATTGGTACATTTGATTAATTATTACAATTTAGTCGTTTAATATGAAAATTGAATACAAACCTACCTATAGTCAGTATGGTTGAGTATGTACGGAAGAAATATATACGCGTCAACGCCGCTCAATACACGTTTTATTGATTCCACCGACCCCATAACAAAAACTAACTTCCCTATGCGTTCACCCGTTCCGTCCCTACCACGCTATCATTCATACACACAACACCGTCCGCCCCGGCGAGGACAATGACTTCAGTCGTACTATCCAACTATCCAGCAAATCGCAATCAATCCGGGGGATTGATTCCTCGCACGACACAAACATTTGTGTTCATGATTGTTTGTGTTGGTCTGGGTGTTTTCTATGTATAATATGTATGATTTACGAAAAAAAAATGTATTTGTATCAGTTGTCTAGTACCCAACACAAGCTTTAGCTAGCTTAACTTGGGTCTAGATGGCGCTGTATGAATTGTCCTGAGATTATAGATTATAAAACAAAATCGCTGTCACTGTCTGTCCGTCCCTATGTATGCTTAAATCTTTAAAACTACGCAACGGATTTTGATATGGTTTTTTTTAGATAGAGTGATTCAAGAGGAAGGTTTATGTGTATAATACATGTACACCCGTGCGAAGCCGGGTGGGTAGCTAGTTTTTATTATAATAAACTTCTGCTGCAATAAAGAGTAAATAAATAAATAATACATACATATTAAAATTAACAGTAGCTCGGTTTTCATGGTTTTCTATAGCCCAGTCCTAACGATAATTCGCTATATCTACTTATAATTTGACGGTAATTAATTTTTACAATTAAAATATTTTATTACTATATACTTATGGGGCGACAAAACTTCGCGGAAAGTTTGAGTTTTAATATCGAGAATGATTTGGTTGAATATATGTCTCTTTATATATAGTAAGTGATTTATAATGTTGTCTAAATATATATAACTCAAAGGTGACTGACGTAGTGATCTATCAACGCACAGCCCAAACCACTGGACGGATCGGGCTGAAATTTGGCATGCAGGTAGATGTTATGACGTAGGCATCCGCTAAGAAAGGATTTTGATTAATTCTACCCCAAGGGGATAAAATAGGGGATGAAATTTGTATGAAACTTTGTCGATTTTAAACCGATCGGGCTGAGACTTTGCATGCATAATGCTACTATGACGTACGCATAAAATACACGATTTTCATTATTTATAATTTATTTATTTATTGAACTTTAATACACACAATAGTACATAATAGTTGAAGTTCATGCATAATTATAAACGATTTATAAACAGATTATATATATACCTAAGATCAAATAGCACAGAAATTTTGGAAAAAAAAGAGAACTCAGAGAAGAGACAAAGTTATAAATCTTTCATTTGTACAAAAAAATTACTGGAACGGATTTTTATCAAATGGCAGAAAGTTTGTTATTCTTTCACTATATTTTATTGAAATTTATAATATATTTATATATGTATGAATGAAATATATAATATATAAATGAAATTTATATATTAAAATTTGACGTGGTACACATTTAACAAATAAACAGCACAACATTAATTTTTGACGCACCAAGTCATATATGTATCTTATATATAAAATTCTCGTGTCACAATGTTAGTTACCATACTCCTCCCAAACGGCTTGATCGATTATTATGAAATTTTATATGCATATTCAATAGGTCTGAGAATCGGCTACTAATTATTTTTCATACCCCTAAGGAATATCCACCCCTAAATATATTTTTTTATTTTTTCGACATAATATTTTATTTTCATTTTATTATTATTTAGGATTGAAAAATACATACAACCCTAAATTTTCACCCTTCTATCACCAACCCCTATTTTTTTATAGCGTTATTAATTTATATGGCAAAACAACATTGGCCTGGACAGCTAGGAAATAAATAAAAAAATATTTCCACTACCTACTGTCAAAATTTGTCTATTTTTCCAGTGGCACTGCTATACGTGGAGGGTAGAGATCATAAACCACCGAGGAAATTGCCTTACGAGGAGTGGGATCAAAGATATATGTTCAGGAGACATCAGGCAATGGTAATGGACATTGTTAAAGGTCTGTATAACAGTATGTAATAAAACGCATTAGCACTTACAAAATAGAAGATCCGGCTCGAAGGACCACTGTCAAGGCCCTAAGGGATCTTCAATAAAAATGGACTTTAGGTTTGAATATGTATTGTTTCTAATACGAATCTATATATATAAATAAAATCGGAGTGTCTGTTTGTAATATTGAAATAACCGTTTTTTGCTACATGCATATGAATATAAATACGGTACATACCCCAAAATAACATTTTTTACAATTTCTGTCTGTCTGTCTCTCAGTCTGTTTGTTCCGGATAATCTCTGAAATAACTAGTCCGTTTTTGACGGAACTTTGTTTTGGCAGGTAGCTGATGTAATAAGGAGTGACTTAGGCTACTTTTATTTTAGAAAATAAAGTTAAATTTGTACAGCTAGTTATACATATAAACCTTCCACTTGAATCACTCTATCTATTAAAAAAAACGCTTCAAAATCCGTTGCGATTTTCCGTGCGAGATTTAAGCATATATAGGTACGGACAGACAGCGACAGCGACTTTGTTTTATACTATGTAATGATGATAATAATATCTCAGGATAATTCACACAGCGCCATCCAGTCCCAAGATAAGCAGAGCTTGTGTTGTTTACTAGACAACAGATATAGAAACTTATAGCACAGATAACATAAAATTACATTATATACACAGTTATTTTGATTTTTTTTATTAAGTTTACATTTTTTATTAGGTATAATACATTATTGAATTACAACAATACATTATTGAGTGGAATGAGTAGTCATGCTCACTAAAATGTCCAGACATGTGGCGGCGTGGTGGGCCGGGTCATTGGGCTCCCTAAAACATGGTCGAGCGCAGTGATGGCTGGCTCATCCGTCATACTCGTGAACGAGTGCTGCTTGTAGGGACTGGTCTGCTCTTATCACTACGACTTATTTAATCTTATTGTGTTTTTATATTTGACCCAAAAAAAAAATTGTGCTGGTTGGTAGTTTGTATTCACACGTTTCGACTTGTAAATGTAAACTTACAAGGATTATTTATAAGAGCAACACACAAGTTTCTTGCTCGTTCTTCTTGTGATGAGACAGCTTTCCGAACGAGTGGCAGATAAAAAACAAATTGTTATGACAAAGTTTATTTGAATAAATGATTTTCTATTCTATTCTATTTCACAGACGTAATCCTAAAACTGCGTCACGCTGAGAAATTGCAGGAAAAATATAAGAAATATGTGAGCTACGAGCTGGGTATCCTGGCCGGTGGTATACTGGAGAAGTTTATAAGTATGCTAGAACTGTACAGGGAATATTCGGACCTCAAGAAGGTCACTGACCATGGGTTCAGCGTTGAAAAGTATTTCTACGCATACCACAACATGAGTGAGTGTTACACGGTAATACTTTCAAGAGGGGGCAGAGGCTTGTTAGTAATGTGGACTAATGATTCCATTGCTAGCAATGTACCATGTCAGGTCGACCTCCACGCGGCTCCCCCTGGAAACCACGCGTGATAAATTCTTGGTGAATTTGTCACGATGGGCTAACTGGCCTGACCTCGTGCTCATCTTATCATCTTCTATTGCTGCCCCGCCAGCCAGCCAGATTATCATCCATTATCATCCGTAAAAAAAACCAAAGGAAGGCCTTATGAAGCGGCTGAAGGCCAACTCCTGCCTGACGGATATGACTTTAGTTTGAGGGCACCGCTAGGGGTTCGAACCTCAGCTTAGTCTGTCGTAATTTCGATCCCCGTTTGAATTGGACGGGAAATCGATCGAAGGGTATAAGAGGCAAAGACAAAGTGTATACTCTGTCTTTGCCTCCTAGTCCTCATTGTTGTCTGTAGACAAAACATAATGGAAGTTTAGTAGTTACGTGATAAGAAAATAAACAGTGAATTTATTAAAAAACATGATTAAATACTATTGACGGTCTCAGTGGTCTACCACTTAGCATACGGCCTTACTTCCGTCGCGGGTTCGATTCCTCACACGCCACAAACATTTGTATTCATTTGTATGATTGTTTGTGTCGGTCTGGGTGTTTTCTATGTATATTATGTATTTACGAAAAAAAAATATCTATGTATTTAAGAATAAGAATAACATTTATTTCATAAAACTTAACTTAAGTGACATTGTAACTATGACTTATTTTGACTTATTTGTGTCAGTTATTTAGTACCCATGACACAAGCTTTAGTTAGCTTAACTTGGGTCTAGATGGCGCTGTGTGAATTGTCCTGAGATTATTAAAATTCAAAAATAATTTATTCATGTACAACAGCCGCTTATGAGTGTCGAATTTTTTACGTTATAATTTGAATTTTTCCCTACCGTCCGTACCGTCGTATTATTAATGTTGGAGTAGCTATCGAAGAATGTGCTTGTTCCTTCAGAAACAGATTACAACGAGATAAGAATGGAAAGAAACATGTTCTTTGAGGTATTGGACCGTCATTTGAGACAGCTAGAGTCGAGAGCCAAGGCTCAAGATGCAATAGTGGGAGTACTCGATGACAAAAAGAAAGCAATAAGAGTAAGAGAGTCAAATAAGACAGCGCAGAACGTGGAAGATTATAAACGCAGTTTGAGGTATAAGAAATGGGAAGAGAAATGGAATCATTTCATACCGGAAATTGAGGGGGTTGATATTGATGTGGAGAAAATTAAAATTTGATTTGTCTGATATTCTTTTATTGATGGAGTTAGTGGTCTAGCGGTAATACCATATTGTTTTGTATATATATATATATGTTTGTTTGTAATACTTTATTGTACAATAATATTATAAATAAAAGGACACAATTGACTTAGAAAAAAAAACATGCGTACAATGGCGGACTTATCCCAGAAGAGGGATTTCTTCCAGTCAACCTTTGAGTTACTGAGAGGAATTGTGGAGTGGTGGAAATAGGTACAATAAATAATACGCGTCACAATGACATATATAGACAATAATATGTCATATGTCATATTTCTTTCTTTCTTTTCATTTTCTATATTAGTATGATAAATATTATAATATGAATTTCACACGGATCAAACCGCGGCCATACGTATTATATACTATTATATTTAAAGAAACAAATATTACAAAAAATATTTGTTTCTTTAAATAAAAATTATCCTATGTTCATTCTAATACCTCCAAGCATATGTGTACAAAATTTCATGATGATCGGTTCAGTAATTTTTGCGTGAAAGTGTAACAAACATACCTACTTACACATTTGTAATAGTAGTGAGGATACTAATAGCTGTGTCCGTGTATCACCCGTATTAATTTTTAATAAATAAATTTCAATTAAAAATATAGTCTATGTGTTATTCTGATGTATAAACTATATTAGTGTAAAGTTTCATCAAAATACATTCAGTAGTTTTTTGCGTGAAAGAGTAACAAACATCTATAACAAACTTTCGCGTTTATAACATTAATAAGATTAATATTATTATATCAAACATATAATAAATAAATATATGAATATAAATGTTTGTATGGCGCGGGAATTAAACTGACGTATGGATGTTAAACTTTCGCATTTATAATATCATACCAATATGACATACATATGTATATATATACTGGCTGTCCCGGCAAACATTATATATGGTATTATATGGTAAAATAAATTAACATTCCAATTAAAAATAGAGGTTAATGGTAGAAGAGGAAAATTTGGGATTTTATGTATTTTTAATGCCACTTTATAGAAAACTTACAAAAATTTACTTCATTAAAAAAATTTAAATAAAATCATATTATAAAAAATTAAAATAAAAAAGTTTATCGAATAAATTAAATAAATATGTTTGGGGTAGACAACTTTTATCACTTAGGGGTATGAAAATAGAAGCCGACTCTCAGACTACTAAATCTTATATATAAAATTTTCGTGTCACAGTTTTCGTTCCCATACTCCTCCGAAACGGCTTGGCCGATACTCATGTAATTTTGTGAGCGTATTGAGTAGGTCTGAGAATCGGCCAACATCTATTTTAGTTAGGGGTAGTCCACCCCTAAATTTTTATTTTTTATTTTAAGGCAAAACAATGTTTGTCGGGACAGCTAGTATGTATATAAAATTTCATAAAAATCAGTAAAGTAGTTTCGCAGGAGTTTGGTAACAAACACCGCGGCACGAGATTGTACGACCTCTTACACACACTACCTTCGTGCGAAGCCGGGTGAGATTGCTAGTACATAAATCGATAATTGGTTAATTTAAATGCATAATAAATTATTAATTTAATAGTATGGAACAATTACTCATATGCAAGATGTCGACTGCTATATCGTGGAGTCTTATTGTGTTTTGTAAGTATATATTTCATTATATATTTTGTTATTTTAATATTAATATATTATTAAATCTTTTATGCACTAATACACAAATATAGATGCATATGGAGGACGTAACACCATGAGGTATTTTCTCCCAGTCAACCATTCTGCAAATAGAGATCTATGTGGGCAGAGCATTAAAAAAAATGTAGGTATACCATTTAAAATCCCAATTAAAATAATAATAATAATAATAATCTCAGGACAATTCACACAGCGCCATCTATTCCCAAGTTAAGCTAGCTAAAGTTTGTGTTATGGGTACTAGATAACTGAACCACCAGTACATAAATATTATTTTTTCGTAAATACATAGAAAACACCCAGACCGATACAAACAATCATACTCATGAGAACAAATGTTTGTGCCGTGCGAGGAATCGAACCCGTGACCATCGGTCGTAAAGCAGTGTGCTAGACCGAGGTCGTCCGACCGCCAGACTACCGAGATCGTCAATTGAAAATTATCTTTATATATATAAATTACGTGTCATGTTGTTCGTCCGCGATGGACTCCTAAACTACTGAACCGATTGCAAATTTGTGATTTTTAGTGTCGTGGATACGAACCGCGATATGTATGGATGATTCTGAAATGAAAAAGTTGGAGCATCAACTCAGTGATACCACGTATTACAGACTGCAGAATGACACCAATTCACATGGTATGGCGTTTTTTTTAACTAATACTGTTGGCTGCAGCTGGCCTACAGCTTCATCGGACGATAGGGGGCGAGTGCAGATGGCACCATAACCAAAGGGAGGACTTTTGGAGCGACTAAGAGCCAAATCCTGTCTGACGGATACAGATACGGAGACTAAAAAGAGTAGCCTATGTCCTTTCTCAGGGTCTAAACTATCTGTGTACCAAATTTCATTTAAATCGGTTCAGTAGTTTTTTTTTTTTATAACACAGGGGACAAACGAGCATGCGGCTCACCTGATGGTAAGTGATTACCGCCGCCCATGAGCACCCGCAACACCAGGGGAATTGCAAGTACGTTGTCGGCCTTTTAAAAAGGAATAAGCTCTTTTCTTGAAGGTTTCAATATCGTATCGGCTCGGAAATACCATTGCTGGAAGGTGATTCCACAATGTGGTTGTGCGAGGCAAAAAGTTTCTAGAACGCACTGTGGAAGACCGCCATTCATCCAGATGATCAGGATGGTATTTCAGTTTCTGGCGGGTGGTACGGTGGTGAAACTCAGCAGCTGGTATTAATCAAAAGTTTTGACGTGACAGCGAGATAGACAGAGTTACTTTAGCATTTATAATATACTAGCTGTGCCTGAAATTTTGCTGTTTCACCCTTATTAAATTTCAATAATAAAATATAGCCTATATGTTATTTTGACGCATAAACTATATTACTGTAAAGTTTCATCAAAATCCGTTCAGTACTTTTAGTGAAAGAGTAACTAACATTCATAGTCACAAACTTTCGCGTTTATAATTATTAAATTATTAATTATTATATATGCGAAAGTAATTCTGTCTGTCTGTAAGGAAGTGAGGATTAAGATATAAATAATTAAATTTGCTTTCTGCCCTTAAATGGTGTTTAGACTATAAACCTTTTAAACTTGAGGATCTGGAAGCCGAATTTCGTAACATTAGTGAAAAGCCAGGTCTAAGATACCACGGACATGTGCAAACTGGAGATATGAACCATCAGACGTGCTACTTCCTGCACATGACCTTCCGAGCTGCGTAAGTTTTTTTTTTAATGATAACTGACCCGGAAAACGTTGTTTTGCCATATGAATTAAATAAATAAATAACCCTGGTCAACTAACACAGCGCCATCTAGTCCCACGGTAAGTAGAGCTTGTGTTATTGGTACTAGGCAATAGATATAAATACTTTTTTGTAAATATATATATAATATACATAGAAAACACCCAGACCGAATATACAAACATACTCACGAATACAAATGTTTGCACCGTGCGAGGAATCGAACCCGCGGCCATCGGAAATAAAGCAGTATTTAAATACTAATATCGCCTTTCTACATACGCTTTTCACTAAGGAAATAATGTGGATGTAAATGTAGATAAACAGAATGAAGAGCGAAAAGTCTATGAAAGTGAATGAGTCTATGAAAAATAAATACTGCAGTTTTAAAAATAAAATTGTAAAGGAAGTGATATGACTACGAAAGAGTGAACACAAAAAAAAAATAATAATAATAATAAAACTCTTTATTGTGTACACATAAAATAATAAGAAAATACAGTAAATAGTAAAATAATAACAAAAGGCGGTCTTATCGCTAAATGCAATCTCTTACTGACAACCTAGAAGAGAGGACTTTTTTTTTTTAATGGTTGATAATGGAATGGTGCGCCAGCCTGCGCTAACGGTTTACGCTGGCGGGGCACCAGTGGAGGATGATAAGATGAACATGAGGTCAGGTCAGTTAGCCCATCGTGACAAATATATAATTTAACACGATGGTTACATATATACCTGACATATATAAGCAATGGGGTTATCAATCCACATTCCTAACAATCCTCTTTCCCCCCAGAAGAGAGGACTTATGTACATAGAATAGGGTAGGGGGCACACATTCATACAGACACTATTTATTATACTACTAGATATACATACTTACATTAGGGATAAATATATAAACCTACATATATAAAATAGTTAAATACAATCCCTCACGATTGCGCGCGCAGCATTTCCTGCGCTAAATCGCGTGTGCTCCTGACGGGTCTAGGTAGCGAACTCTGAAAAAGGGCGAGCACAATAGATCTATGTAGGTCGCAGTGCTACAGGTCTCAGCATCTGATAATAGCTCAAACAACCCAAAACCCAAAAACACAATCTGATAAACCGTATGCTCGCCATCTACATAGCAAAAAAGAAAGTTTGCCTCTTTCAGACTCGTCGACTTCAGAACGTACTAACAACCCAAAACCCAAAAACAAAATCTGATAAACCTTATGCTCGCCATCTACATAGCAAAAAAGAAAGTTTGCCTCTTTCAGACTCGTCGACTTCAGAACGTACTAACAACCCAAAACCCAAAAACAAAATCTGATAAACCTTATGCTCGCCATCTACATAGCAAAAAAGAAAGTTTGCCTCTTTCAGACTCGTCGACTTCAGAACGTACTACGCTCTTCGACAGCTCTATTTGGACAACAAAGAATATGAAATCGGCTACTTAACACATGAGATAATTTCTCGCTACCAAACAATGTTGGAAGTATTTCATTTCGCCATCGAGAAGTTCGAAAAGAACCAAAATCGTAACCAGGCACCACCTACCGTCATGTTTTACTATTATACGAACGTGTTGGAGCAAAGCAAAGTGATTATACATCTTTGTAATATGCTGCACGAACTTGAAAGAAAATACTCTTCAAAGAGGAATGTCCTTTTTGATGATTACAATTTGGAAAGTAAGTTTTTGAAGAATTTTTTTATTGTCGTTATGGTAACCATGTTGGCTACAGTCCTTTGGGGGAAAGGGGGTTAAGGTATGTTAACGGAATGACGCTCTCGTCTGCGCTAGCGGTTTACATTGGCGGAGCATCAGTGGAGGATGGTAAGATGAACATGAGGTCTGGTCAGTTAACACATCATGACAACTGACCTAACCTCATGTTCATTGGTGAAATGGGTTACTTACCGCATGTGATAATTTCTCGCTACCAAACAATGTTGGAAGTTTTTCATTTCGCCATCGAGAAGTTTGAAAAGAACCAAAGTAACCAGGCACCACCTACCGTCATGTTTTATTATTATACGAACGTGTTGGAGCAAAGCAAAGTGATTATACATCTTTGTAATATGCTGCACGAACTTGAAAGAAAATACTCTTCAAAGAGGAATGGCCTTTTTGATGATTACAATTTGGAAAGTAAGTTTTTGACGCATTTTATTATTGTCGTTATGACAACCATGTTGGCTACAGTCCTTTGGGGCAAAGGAGATTGTTTTGTTAACGTATGGTAATGGAATGACGTTCCTGTCTGCGCTAGAGGTTTACTTGGCGGAGCACCAGTGGAGGATGGTAGGATAAACGTGAGGTCTGGCCAGTTAATACATCATGACAACTGACCTGATCTCATATTCATTAGCTGCACGAATTTGAAAGAAAGTACTCTTCAAAGAGCAATGTCCTTTTTGATGATTACAACTTGGAAAGTAAGTTTTTGACGAATTTTTTTCAGTGTCATAAGGACAATGGGTCATCTATGGGAATTGTTTTTTTATTGCATATCTACGTTTAATATTGGTGCAATAGATAATCTTTACATAGTATAAAATGAAGCTTCCGCTGTCTGTTCGCTTAGATCTTTTAAACTACGCAACGGATTTTAATACAGTTTTTAGCAATAGATAGAGTGAGTTAGTAGCGTATAAAATTTTATTGGGCCCTTACGAAGGGTAAAGATTTCTCATGAATGAAAAAAAAATACATAAAATTAAAAGAAATATTTATTCATCATATCATATCTGTCACTTTTTCCTAATTTTTTACAAATAACTCAAGTTAATTATACACTTTTCTTGCCTTTTTTTCGGCAAACTGATTTATGAAATCATTTATAGCTGATGCGGGAAAAAAAGAAACAGTTTTTTTACTTTTGTCATTTGTGAAATAAAAAAAATCCGGGTTTTTTGCTTAAGCACGTTGGGGGTGGTGCGGTGCCGCAGCCCCGTGGTATTTTTGATACGGCAGATATAGCGGTAGTTACGCCCCTGTGTATAATACATTTACAATCGGGGTTAGATTGTTATAAATAAATATGATGTGATGATTTTATAGCGAGCGCAAAGAAACGTAATGGTAGTTCATCAAGTCAAAAGGCGTTGGAGGAATACTTGCAGAAGAAAGCAGACGAGAGGAAGCGGAAACAGAAGAGATTGAAGAAGAAAAGGCAACACCCACAGTATCTCTTCGAGTCTACGACACGGCGGGTTGTTAAAAGGTAATGATTTTTTATATAACTGAAATGGTAGGATAGCGAAGGAATAAAATGTTTTGGTGTATGGTATGTACCGTTATATTCATATGTATGTAGTAAAAAACAGTTATTTCAATATTACAAACAGACTTAACTCCAATTTTATTTATATGTATAGATGTATAGATATATAAAATTCTCGTGTCACAGTTTTCGTTCCCATACTCCTCCGAAACGGCTTGACCGATTCTCATGAAATTTTGTGAGCGTATTGAGTAGGTCTGAGAATCGGCCAACATCTATTTTTCATCCCCCTAATTGTTAGAGGTAGTAGTAATTTTTTTATTTTATTTTAAGGCAAGACAACGTTTGTTGGGACAGCTAGTATTATATAGATGTATTTATTAAAAACAAATGTATTTAAGTATTAGGCTCGGCATAACGTGGAACCAGACGACGCTGTGTGAATAATAATGTAGGTATTTAATTTTTTTTTTCCTTCATTACTTTTGATTCTAATGTCTATTATTTTCAGTTTCTGGCCGTTACACTATGGTTGGTCTATTGAATATTGGTAAATATATCCCTTTCTGTATATTTGTGTTTTATTTCCATCCAATTTCATTACAAGACCTTAAGTGGTCTCAGACAGTGCGGTTTCAGAGGAGCTTCCTCCCGTGTACACTTACGTTGTGGAATGAACGATACGAAGTGAAAATGAAAAGAAAAAAGCTCGCTAGGTTAGCGAGCTTTTTTCTAGAGACTACAGCATGGGGTTTTCTAAGATGGGTATATTAAGGTTTCTTAAGGGTCGGCAACGCGCACGTGACACCCCTGGTATCTCAGGTGTCCATAGGCCACGGTAACCATTTACCATCAGATAGGCCGTGTTCTTGTTTGCCACCATCGTGGTATAAAATAACTAATATTATAAATGCTAAAGTAACTCTGTCTGTCAGTCTGCCTCATTTTCACACCAAAACTACTGAACCCATTTATATCAAATTTAGTACACTATATATATAGATAGTCTAAACTGTGCGAAAGAACATGGGCTTATTTTTAATGCAAAAAAAAGGGTTGTTATTTTTAAGATAGTGATTAAATATAACATTCAAAATTTGTAAAAATGTTATCTTTAAGTGTTAAAATAAAAAAGGATAATGAGAGTCGTCTCCGTAAACTCAGTCTCACCTATTGCAGCCAAGCATTGTAAGATGTTTCGGTTGTAAGAGGCGTGACATCTTAGTCCTCGGGAATAGCAACGCATGAGTATCACGGGTGCCACATGATAACGTGATGTGATCACTTGGTTTCCAAGGGGAACCGCGTTGAGGTCGAACTCCAGTGGTACATTGCTAGCGATGAGGTCGTCGGCTGGTCTCCATTACTGACAATCCTCTTCACTTTAATAGCCAGTTGTCGCGGCGGCATGGGTAAATGTTCGCAGAAGTTTTTATTTCCTTTACCTACATATATATGTATATTGACGATTACCACTGATTAGTTGTCCTTTTAACACTAATTGTTTCTTCTTAATTGATTTTAAAATGAATCTACACTTTTGTAATCATGCACGAGCTCATTTGAAAACACGAGCTAAATTTCTTGTCAGTTTTCATCTCGAAATCATTCCGAACTGACGGCAGATCATAAGAGTATGTAATAGACCTACATGAATAAAGATATTTTGAAATTGTTACCTAATTTTAATATTAATTGTAAATGGACGGGTTTGACCTTCATTTGTCAAAGTCTTCAATATTAGGTAGAATATTGTAATCAGAAAACCATATGACCAAATGTTTTTTATTAACATATATCTACCTACTCATTATGTTAACATCATAAGTAGATATATAATATAATAAACAAACAAACAACACGTCTATTTGTACAGATGCTACGTTGTTTTCAATTAAATCCGCCATCATACGAAGATCGTTTAAAAACTATTAATTTTTATCGTTTCTAAAATGATAACTTTATCATTTGCTTATAAAAATTGGAGACCCAATGCTTGGCTTGTGTTATCACCCATTATCACAGTAATACTACATGTCAAACGGATTCAATGTCGTCATATCATATTTATACTTTATTCAGTCTTTTGCTATCCGTCTTTGCATATGATCGTATATTTCGTACAGTATAACGCTGCTAAATTACGTATACACGTTCCGTCGCATCGTACCATAGATTTTCGCGGCTTTTCAACCTTTACAGGTTACTTTGCACATTTGGTCCATTGTTCTATTTTCAAATTGTATTTTGAAGTTTAATCTGTGCAGTGTTTATCTTCCTGTTGTATGATATAATAATCTTATCGTGTAAGTATTTATTATCTATGTTTACTTTTTTAAATGGTAAACTTATTAATTATGTAGGCTAGGTTAATATTGCACAATGTTATGTCATTTGTAACTAGTTTTGGATAGATAAAAAATTAAAAGTTTTTTTTCATTCTGAACATTCAGCCAGTATGAACAAGTCGAACGTAGTAAACAAACGAATGACACTTAAGCCAATAATGCATGCATTTATCTTCTATCTCTTTCTTAAAAAGGAATATCTATATTGCCAATAAATTCCAATCATAATGTATTAATAAGTAATTATATAGAAACCTGTTTTTTTCTTGACAAAGTGGTCACTGGTAGTAATAATTCAGTGTTGGAACAAAATTATATGCCACAAAACTAATTTTCCGTGAAACAACATATAGTGTACCTACTACACTAGTAGAGTAATATAATTTGAGAACCAACTAGTTCGTAAGTGCTCTCTTTAGTTCGTTTCATAAAAATATAAAAGTTATTATTGTACTAAATAAAATATTAGCAGGGTTATATAACAGTTGAAGTTGAAACTAGACATTTATAGATTTAGGACTCTAGAGATTGGGCAGCTCATTGCTTAAGTCGAAAATGAATAAACTATTTCGCAAAAGATCCGCGAACTAAATTAAGCACTCCGAGTCACGAACTATTGTGCGTACGACTATGAACTAGCCGCACTAGCGCCACACACATTGACAGGTGTTTGAATTTCGAACAACATACTTACATACCTACATATAATTACGATTACGTATGTTTACGTCCGTGTTACGTCACGCAGTACAGAGGTCGGATATTCCCAACGATTGCTTGATAAATAAAAATAGATCGTATCTCCGTAGTAATAAGATTTTTTATCGCAATTTTTTTTATTATTTCTGATATATGTCGCTTTGAATAGAGATGTATATACATTTTGAAACTTAAGTATATTCTATAATTTATTAGTACTTTTTGGAGGGAAAAACAAACAGATGTGTCAAAAGCGTTCGTTACCAAATGGTCAGGTCAAACCATCTATTTATATATACATATATCATCTCAGCCCAGAAGATGTCTACTGCTGAACAAAGGCCTCCCCCAAAGATCTCCACGACGATCAGTCCTACGCTGCTCACATCCAACGCCTTTCAGCTATCTTGCCCAGATCATCGGTCCACATTGCTGGAGTATATCCCTGTTGTAATAAATACAACACTTGACCCCTTCCGATCGATCCCCAGTCCAATTCAACCGGGGATCGAAATTATGACTGCCTGGGCCGAGGTTTGGACCCTTAGGGGGTCCCTCAGAATAAAATCGTATCCGTCAAGGGGAGTTGTCCTTCAGCCGCTCCATAAGTCCTTCCTTTGGTTTGGAGTGCCATCTGCACTCGCCTCCTATCGTCCGGTGAAGCTGTAAAGGCCAGCTGCGGCCAAGAACATTAGAGTACGAAAAAAAAAATGCCGACATTTAGTTCGATCTACCCTCATTTCGTATTAATTCGTGGTTTTACACTATCAAATAAACTTACTAATGTAATACACCATCTGTATACTCACAACTTAGATACCACAGGAAACAAACAATGTAGCGGCATATCATCACATCATATATAACGCCAGTGATGAGGTGATAATGATCACCCTACACAAGAATTGGTCATCACGCTATCACTGATATAAGGTGCTGTAATTTAGCAGAATCATTTAGTATTCCCGCTATAAATCTAAACATATTAGAATGAATATAAGCAGTATCAAATAACTGCTTATTATAACTTATGTAACCATTATTATGGGAAGGAAGACATTGGATGCGGCACAGGACCAATCGTCGTGGAGAGCTTTGGGTGGAGGCCTATGTCCAGCAGTGGACGTCTTCCGGGCTGAGATGATGCGTCAAGCAATAACTTTGTACCACTTTTCACCAAAATTTCGCACACTTGTCCTTACAAATGTTATAAATGCGAAAGTAAATCTGTCTGTCTGTCTCATTTTCACGCCAAAACTACAGAAGCGATTTATTATTATTGATTATAAAGATAGTCTAGACCCAAAGAAAGCAAACAGTTTTTAATGCGAAAAAAGGGTTGTAAGGGGTTGAAAAGGGGAGATGAAAGGTTATATGGAAACATCGTCATTTTAGAGTAGTAGCTTATATATATATGAAGTTATATTTAGGCTGTTGATTAAATATACATAAATATGACATTCAAAGTTTGCAAAAATTGTTGTTATTTGTTATTATTGTAGGTAGTAAAATAAAATAGGGGACGTAAGTTTGTATGGAAACCGATCGTCGTGGAGATCCTTGGGGGATGCCTCTGTTCAACAGTGAACATCTTCCGGGCTGAGACGATGAAGCACTATTGATTTATAGTCATATTTTTTTATTCTACCACTCATTAGGAACGCAGACTCATCACAAGAAGAATGAGCATATAACTGGCGTGCTTTTAAATAAATATTATTCATCATTACGTTTTTAAGAATTTTGAGTGAATAGAAACTGCTAGGCAGCAAAGTTGATATAAATAAATGAATAGTTACTTGAATAATAAAATAAATAAGCCATATCCAATATCTAACCTAGCCATAGATAAAGAACAAGCTACTTGGCGGCTGAAATAGGTGAGACTGTGGTACACACGCGGACGAGTTTTTACAGCGTGTAAATTTCCTTACAAAGTTATTAGAACTCGAGCAATGCCGGGGCATAAAACTAGTATGTTAATGAATACTTAAACAGGTACTTAATTACTATTGCTTAATTAATTGTTGGGCAATAACTATAAATACGTGCAAACAATACTCTAAATGCAGATAAGAAAAGTATCTTATCTCAATATAGTTTCAAACCAAATTGTTAAATATTTAATCATTACTTCAATCGCCATTTTTACACTCATTGTTATCTTTAATTTGACAATACGAAGGACAAATTATGTAATTATTTATAATACCAAAGCTGTATGTAATCGCGAAACTGTCATTATAGTTTGCCGCCATTTTTTTGACCGCCATTTTGTGGTTTGAACAAAACGATAAAGGAAACTTGTTTATACGGTTTTATACGAAATGTGATTTTATTATTTTGAGAGATTGTAATATTTTGCAGTAGGCATCAGTAATGTTTTTGTTTTAATTACGATAACCTTATATCTTTTGTGACTTGGGAACGTTTAGTGAGGTGTTAAACTAGATTAATAACAAACTCATTAACTACCTGACAATCTTGGCTTTGCCTATTTTTTTTAGATTTAAGACAGCATATATCCATTGTAGTAATACAACTCTGACAATCTATCTACACGTCAAATTACATTATGATTTGTTTAGTTTTAACCGAGCCATCTGCCATGACCTGCCACCTTCTTTCGGAATAATTTGTCATCCGTGTTTCAGTCAGCGGATAGTTAATGAGTAATATCATAATAATTGACACATATAGACAAGTGGCCAAACTATAACTTACACCGCCTTACTCCCGGTATACAAATTCGATTCCTCGCACGGTACAAACATTAGTATTCATGAGTCTAATTGTTTGTATCGGTATGGATGTTTTCTATATATATTGTGTAGGTATTGACAAAAAAATGTATGTATATATTTCTATCAATAGCCTCGTAGCCATAGCACAAGCTCTGCTTAACTTGGGCCTAGATAGCGCTGTGTGGATTGTCTAGGGTTATTATTATTATATATAAAATCTTAAATTATAATAATAATAATAATCATTTATTCAGCATCATAGTACAGAGTAAAAATATAAAAAAAAAACTTAAAAAATAACTATTCGCTTTGAGCTGAAAAGGCGTCCACTCAGCTGGTGCCGCAGCGTGTCACTGCAGCGCTGATTTTCAGTGGAGCCACTCGAAAGAAAGAAATAGCATTTATGATGATTATATGATTGACTTTAAATATATAAAATGTAGAGTGTTACGTATCTATTATTAACTAACCTTACGCTTTTATCTTTGAAGTTCAAATAAACAAAATCAAGTACAAAAGCCAATGAAATATTATTTATTAAATTAAATATTCTAGAAGTATCTAAAAACAGTTTTCTTTTTTTTACAGATAACGGAGATTTTATTGCACAACGAAATACGTGTTGTATTCTGTAGACAATAAAGTCTACATCAGGTTAAATAAAATAAAGATAAATAACTGGCGAAGTTATTTCCGAATTGACAATTACTTTGTTATTAAAAAAAGTAATATTCAAATTTAGAAACATTGTGAAGAAATATATATAAATTAGAACATTATAAAATAACAAATAGTTCCTATTTAGAATCTATAAAAACAATTAATTAATAGTAAATAAGTTATATTAGTTTTTTTTTCATATATAACTTTACGGCTTTGAATAATCCTTGAAATCCAATAAGATTATTCGAAAAAAGAATAGATACGTACAATATTTACTGAAGTAATAAAAATATTAAATTTCGAACTGTGCCTATAAAAGACGTTTAAAAAAAAGAACTTTCCAATTCTTTTTTATGTGCGTGGTGTTTACTTTTCGTTGTAACCAACCAGTGTTTAGTGAAGTGTATTACCATAGACAATTATAACTTTGTTATCTAATAAACTAAAGCATTTTTTATTAACTTTGGAGTGAGTTTATATCGAATCAAAAGGGACAGATAAAATAAAAATGATCGAGGAAGTGTTACCCACGATGCGGAGTTTAAGTCCGGACCCTGAGTTCATGACTTCGGTCACTAAAAAGTACCATCAGGTAAGTTGATTTTTTTATAATATTTTTATATTTCTTCTTAGATTCTTCTAATATATAAACGTCTGAAAATCGGACATCTATTTTTCATACCATTCAACGATAAGGGATTTTTTAAACAATTTTTTTTTAAAGTTATGATTCGGTTTTAAATAATATATACAACTCTAAATTTTGACTGTTTACCATCAACCTTTATTTTTTAATAGCGGTCAATGTGCTCCTTCTAATATAGTTAAGTTAGTTAGTTAGTTAGTTAGTTAAGGGCAATGATGACTGGCTTATCTCATGAAAGACTCTTAATTAAAATTAACAAATTATATCCATAATAATTATTTAGACGACCTCGATGGCCTAGCACGTTTTAGTTGCGATGGCAGCGGGTTCGATTCCTCGTACGATACAAACATTGATGATGTATGACTGTTGTATCGCTCAGTGTGTTTTCTATAACAATTAACACAGCGCCATCAAAAATATACACATAGTATATATATATATATACTATACTATGTATGTATATCTCTACATTATATCTAAATATTTATATCAGTTGTCACATATGAGCTCTGCTTACAGTGAGACTAGATGGCGCTGTGTTAATTGTTCAAAGTTATTTTTTGTTTATTTATTGGTGAAATTTCTTTTAAACACATTTCCTAGTCGTGAGTCGTAATGCTATAGCTTGTATTCGTCGTATGGCTTTGCTTGCTATGGTTTTTAGTAGTTAATATGTATATATGTCTTCTTTAAGCTAGTAATTGTATATCAATATAGAATTCGTTATAAAAAAAATGATAAAAATTCGCGCAAATTTGTGGATAGAGTCACGTTTACATTATCAGTTGATAATGGACTCTGATAACAGTTATCACAAGAATACCTTTGTACGAATATGTTTGAGTGTTGCTCTCTCATTCATGTTTCATACAACTGAATCAGCATACAATTTAGTTAAATATTGCTAAGAGGGCGAAAATAAATTACTTTTGGTGCTTTTTTTAATTTTCTGTTCCTCCCTCCCCTCTTGGTGAGATGTCGCGAGATTTTATTCAACCCCCAATACTACCCCCGTCTCACGTGAGATTCTTCAAAATGTGTGTTTCTTACGCAACCGCGTTGGATTGTTATTGTAAAAAGAAAAAAAATTGCCTCGTACTTTTATTTACGACTAGTTAAGACTAGTAATCAATATTGCTGAGAGTTATAAGTGTAATAAGCGTGTACATTCTGGATTTTATAGAATAAAATAGTACAATTTTTTTTTGTTTCAATCAGAAAAAAAATTATGAGATTTTTGCCGAGACCCCCCTCTTTCCAACGTAAGATTAGATGAGATTTGACTCGACCCCCTCCCCCCTTAAACATCTCACGTAATTTATGGACGCCCCCTAAATATTATTATTAAATTACACAATACATTATGCAGAAATATAAAAATATATAATCAAATATACAAATAGCAACTTACTGGATATTTTTTGTTTATTTATTTTAAATCAGACAACTTAATGTTTCTATTTTAATTGTCCTGAGATTATTATTATATAACAAATAATAATAATAATAATCTCAGGACAATGCACACAGCGCCATCTAGACCCAAGTTAAGCTAGCTACAGCTTGTGTTACGGGTACTAGATAACTGATATAAATACATAGATTTTTTTTTTTCGTAAATACATACATATTATATATAGAAAACACCCAGACCGATACAAACAATTATACTCACGAATACAAATGTTTGTGCCGTGCGAGGAATCGAACCCGCGACCATCGGACGTAAAGCGGTGTGCTATACCGCTAGACCACCGAGGTCGTCGAAATAAATCTAACAAATCTATAAAGTATAATTAATATAGATATTATCATATATAACACACTTTAAATATCTACTTATCGAATAATTTGCATTGCTTTTATCAAAAATTTGGCGGCTAACATTTGGTTATATTTGTTAAAGTAGATTGTAATCCATAAAATAGTATTGTTTGCATGCGGCGCCAATAGATGGCGCTGTAACAAAATTGAAACGCGCTAACGTTTCGCTTTATAGAAAGTCCATATGTATTTTACTTTATAACATTTTTTTGTTCTCCACCCCGACCACATTTTTACACACACACGACACCGTCCTCGCCGGCGAATACGACGACCTCAAACACACAATATCGCGCATTCAACCGGGCGTCTGCGCGCGCCCGGGCGCCCCTCCGATCGATCCCCCGTCCAATTCAAATGGGGATCGAAATTACGACGGTCTGAGCCGAGTTTCGAACCCCTAGTGGTGCCCTCAGACTAAAGTCGTATCCGTCAAGCGAGAATTGGCCTTCAGCCGCTCCATAAGTACTTCCGCGGGTTTGGAGTGCCATCTGCACTCGCCCCCTATCGTCCGGTAAAGCTGTAAAGGCCAGCTGCGGCCAACAGCATTAGAGTAGTCCGAAATAAAATATTTTTTTGTACCTGTACCTGTATTTGAAACCGACCAATAAACCTTATATACACGAGTGTAGTGTTTTGGTTTATAGCACCCTTAGGACTTTGTGTCCATAGGCTACGCTAACCGTTTAACATCAGATGGGCCGTATGCTTGTTTGCCACCATCGTAGCATAAAAAAACGTCATTTGAGAATGGGTAAGGAACAAGCAGATGATCAGTACTGGCGGCTGTAGTGTCAACTCCTAAAACGTAGTGTTTATTTGCTTTATGATATCAGTGTATAATATATTTTTTATAGTATGTTGTTGCTAAATTTTTATATAAACTATAGTGGGGCGTCTAATTTTTTAAATAAACATATATCAGGCAGCAGGCATGTGTAGCACACGCCTGCTGCCTGATATCGACGGATGTAATGTCATTTACTCTAATTTACACTTCACTATGACATGTCCTAACAAGTTATGTAAATCATCATCATTATTCTTACATAGTATAAAACAAAGTCGCTGTCGCTGTCTGTCCGTCCCTATGTAGGTATACTTAAATCTTTGAAACTACGCCACGGATTTTGAAGCGGTTTTTTAATAAATAGAGTGATTCAAGAGGAAGGTATATATAATACATGTACATCTGTGCGAAGCCGAGGCGAGTAGCTAGTATTTTAATAATGCGTAATAATGGAATGATGTACCTACGTTAATGATTATACGCTTACGGGCCACCAGTGGAGTATCATAGAATTTTCTCGAACTATCAACTTTGACCGTGGTTCGGTTTGAACGTGTATTTGACCAAAAATTTATCTGATAGCCTTGGTTTACAAGACCTCCTGTAAACCGCACCTTCCGATTCCTCGCACGGCACAAACATTTGTATTCATAAGTATGATTGTTTGTATCATGATTTTGGGGCGGGACGAAAACTAAAAAATGGCGCTCAACTAACAATTCTCCCGACATTTTTGCAATATACAAATTAACTTACAATTTCTCCAATTAGTATTTTCTAATTATTATGGTATTCATTAACAGTTATATCTTCATTTTCAAATGCATTGAACACAATTTACTTGACGTGCGTCTGTCACTGGTCAAGTTGTCAAAGATGCGTCAAAAATGTTGAGTTGTGTATTCATCTGCCAAGTTTGAATTTGTTGTCCCCAGAACTTGCTGCCCGGGGCACGGGCTCCGTGTTGCGTAGACTGATTATAAGTGGTTATCACCTCACCACTGTAGCGTTATATATGATGTGATGAGGTGTCGCTACATAATATATTGTTTATTGTAGTATGTAGGTAGTGAGTATACAAGCGTAATAATTGTACTATTTATTGTATTATACATTAGTAAGTTTTTTTGGTAGTGTGCTACATGGCTTATTAGTAACGCGTACATTGGGCGCAGAGCCGGGACGTAGACTGTTTTATACTGATCGGACACGTAAACTAATGTAAGGGCCTCAAGTGTTGACAGAAATATTAAAAGTGTAGACACAAATATATTTAAATAACCCAAAGACAATATCTTATCTATGTCAAGACACTTACTTGCACGTACATCAGTATCGCATTGGTTTAATAAAAATAATAAAGTTAGTTTTATGAAATAATAACTATAACATTGTATATTAGCGCCACCTGTTATCAAATGTAAATATTCGAAATTTTACCCACTTAACAGTTCCACTATCCAACAAGAGATGGCACTAATTGTTTAAAATAACTAACCTGTTTTCTTAAAATTACATATACGTTACAGATATTAAAAAATCTAACTTCATCATCAAATTACGAATGTACGAATTAATTTGCTAAACAATCAGCACTTTTTTTTATTATTAACAAGTATTAAATATGTTGAGTAATATTTGTTTTGCTCGTTCTATTAGTCAGCCATAGGCTATCTCTTTCTGTTGTATAGCGCTATCCTTATCTATTTGTCAGAATGACGTGTTAGTTTTGACGACTTCATAGTTCGATCCGAAGTCAGTTGCGAATTGTTATCGCTATCGAGTATTCTTATATTATTAATTGAGGTTAATAATTACTAAATAATTCAATTTAATACCTTATTAAATCATACGTGTGTTTATTCCCGCGTTGAACTGGTATACAGAGTGGATTACAGTGAATTGAATCGTGTTGTGTGATACGGCACTGTCAAATACATGCATTACATCGAGTTTTGCCAGTGAATTTACCTGTTTTTAGTGTTTCTTCCGTTATTGAGGAGCTTGTAAACGGAGCGGAACGTAAGACTTCGACACTGTAGCTGTCTATACACATAAAAATGTAATAACCTTATTCGCTACTTAGTCTTCTGATTTTGTACTTAACTCTTTGAGGTTAACATAGAACTTTATCATAGTCACCTTTACACCATAATTATCTACACGGTCATGTTGTTACTAAGCCACACTAAATAATCTCAGACACCGTCAGTCACGGTAACAAACCAATTTACATGTTTACCTTAAAATGATAGAATTATGTATTTGATATCTTTGCCTTTCGAATATTGACAACTGTCTTTATCATAGATAATATTTATTAAATATTTGACCTTAACCTTTTCTGGAACGCAGTATAAAAGAATCTTATTTTTATTTTTTTTTTAAACAAAATATTTTTGTATGAAACTTTAATACAATTTTGTTAGCCAGTATATTTTCAAGTATTTTTTTGCATGTATTAATTTTGTAGGGTTTATTTTAATGTGCTAGATCACTTCATTAAGAACAAAACCATTTTATTTAAAAGAAACTATGCAAACTTATCTTATTTAGAGCCATTGCATGTTAAATAGATTTTAGATACAAGGACAGAGCAAACTAAATACAGAGACAACAAATAAAGAAGTGTTGTTGATATAGAGTTTGTTAATTAAAACAGTGTGTTATTGTAGGTTAATTATTTGTCAATAATCCATAGACAATTAAAGAAATCAAATTAAAAAAGTAGATTCAAATTAGAATCTTATCAGATTATGATGTACTTATCTGAATGTGTATAAATATTTGTAATTAAATAGAGAATAAACTAGTTATGTACACTGACTTTGCTTCAGTGCTTGTCTTGACTTTATCATCATCTAATGAGCCTCTACTACCGATTGCTAGCATATATGGTTAATGCAGGCTTGTGTATTTAAATTTTTATAAATTTAAATAATGTAGAGTTTATTTTACTCATAACTAAATGCCATTCACTCTATTTATAATATTGGATGATATCAAATAATTGATTTGCAGTGCTTTATAGGTTTTAACAATATTTTATACATTATTATGTTCATGTTATTCTAATATAATATCAAATATAAAATTAATATTTAATTTTGAATACCTTGAGCTCTGTCGTCTGCAACTCTATTTCAGAGCAGTCCCAGGGCCAGGTTGATGTCTTTCGAAATGTTCTTTGGATTTATGTTTTTTGTGTATTTATTCTTAATTAGTGTCTGGTTAATATTTTATTTAGGTACAGAGTAATACATCATAAATATATATATTTAGGATCTGTACATGTAACATTTTATTCTATCTTCATGTTGCACAAACATTTGTATTCATGAGTATGATTGTTTGTATTAGTCTGGGTGTTTTCTATGTATATTATAGATTTACAAAAAAAAATCTAAGTATTTATATCAGTTGTCTAGTACCCATAACACAAGCTCTGCTTACAGTGGGACTAGATAGCTATGTTAATTATTCAGGGTTATTACAATGATTATATTATTTAAACATAGTTTATCTGTGGCAGCGACCACAGATAAACTATGTTTAAGTACCCAACATATAGTTAACTTTTTTATAAAAAACTATGATATTGAGGGTGATAATAAAAAGCAATGACACAATTATTGGTACACAACAAAGTCTCTTCCACTTAGTAATGAAAACCCTACAAATAATTGTTGTTGTCCCTCAGGAGTTGTGTTATCTTAATAATAATATATGGAACTCATATGAAATTGTCAAACTTTACCGAGCAATAATAATCTTTCTAAACTTTTATTATATCTATGAAGGTATCAGCAGAATACCAGTGTCGTGGCACCCTGTCATGACATATGCTGAGCGGAGACCTATTTGGTACTATAAAATTATTATAAACCTATAAAATATAATTTAAAAATTATTTTCAGTATTGCTATGTACCAAATAAACAATTTTCTTTCTTTCTTTTTTCTTTTTCAAACTGAAATAAGCCACAGCTACAAATTACACTCTCAATCCACGACATTGGCAAAATCACTGTACAAACTTGGTGGCAGCCATTTAAAATGATAAAGTAGATGAAGAGGCATCTCTTTAGACCTAGTCGTAAGCAATTAGGCAGGTATCAAAACTATTTAAATACATTGTTGCAATTTTAAAGCCACATAATATGCAGAGTATGCGGCATTGCAACATAAATGCAAGGAGAGTTTGCTGGCGTCAGTTAGAAAGTCTAAAAATATATATTCTAATTAATGTAGTTCTTTAACCTACATTTGTCGCAAACTACATGGAAATACATGTACTTTTTAAAAACTAAACTTTTTCACTTTAATGCACAGAGCAATTGAGACTAGACTTTATAAGAATACCTTTATGGTAATGAAACCAAAATCTATGTGTTCTAAAAAATAAAATTCAAAATTAATCTATGTAAAACATTGTTTACCATTACATTGAAAATATATTGGTTACACAGATTCATACAAAATATATTTAGTATTAAGCCTGTTATACATAAATTTTCAAAATAATGCAATAATATTTTTTTTATTTATTATCAATAAATAAAAAAAATATAATTAATTTGATGCAAAGGGATTGTTAGCATGGAGTTTTGAAAGCATATTTTTTTTGTATATGATAATGAAATAGTGCACTTGCCTGCGTTAACGGTTTACGCTGATTTTGGATATCCTTTGATTAAACGAAATTATTTAAAATATCTATGTTTATTCATGTAGATCTATTACAGACACTTAGGATAAGTCAAATTTACGGTCAGTTTAGTTATGCAGTGCTAACTGCAATGAATTCACAAGAAATACTAACACTTTTTACAGCGGCATGGGCTGTGGTTTGAACTCTTAGAGGTGCCCACACACTAAAGTTGTATCCGTCAGGCAGTAGTTGATCTTCTGCCGCTCCATAAGTCCATCCTTTGGTTTGGAGTGCTGTACTGTGACTGCACTCATCCCCATTTTGGCATTAGAGTATTACGAACTCTTTTCAACAAACATCAAACGAAAAATTTCGTCATATACCAATTTAAATACTTGGATATCTTACAAATTAATAAAACTTACTCACTCAGATGGTAAAAATGGGGGAAAGGATTCTTAGTAATAAAGATTCAGGTCAGGTTGACCCACATTACTTAAGGAAACCATCCTTAAAGCATTATCATTTACCGTCAGGTGGGCCACTAATTATAAAAAAAAAACTATGTAGTCTATTAAAGAGGGGGGTTATTTATGTGGATTAATGATTCCATTACTCTTTTTTTTTTAACGTGGAGAAAGTCTTCATAGATTCGACCATATGTGGGATGTCCACGGTGTTCTTCGGTACGCCAAGTCAGCATGCCACTGGAAGTACATTTATACTCTACTAGCTTTAGCCCACGGCTTCGCTCGCGTTATTTTATCCCCTTAGGGGTGGAATTTATCAAAATTCTTTCTTAGGATTGGATGCATACGTCATAGTAGCTTTATGCATGCAAAGTCTCAGCCCGATCGGTTTAAAATTGACAAAGTTTCATACAAACTTTCATCCCCTATTTTACCCCCTTGGGGGTAGAATTAATCAAAATCCTTTCTTAGCGGATGCCTACGTCATAACATCTACCTGCATGCCAAATTTCAGCCCGATCCGTCCAGTGGTTTGGGCTGTGCGTTGATAGATCACTATGTCAGTCACGTTTGAGATATATATATTTAGATACGCGGTTTCCCCTAGAAACTGTCGTGATAAATTCCTGGTGAATTTATCACGATGTGCCAACTAAACTAACCTCATGCTCATCTTATCCTCCACTGGTGCCCCGCCAGCGTATACCGTTATCGCAGGCGGGTGCACCATACCATATTAACTCATTAAAAATGGTTTAACTTGAAACGTAAATGAAACCAATTTTTGGCGGGAAACAAGACTTTATGTACGATGTTCTGCTCATGAAAGCGTGAAAGATATAAATCTAACCTGTAAATTATTTAAATATGTATGAATTTGATTCGGCGAAGGTATTTCTTTTAAATGCTACGAATATTGCGTTATTTAAACTGATTTTCTACTACTGATATTGCTCTGTGTTTATGTGCGGTGATAAAAGCAATTTAATAAATAGAATGTGTGTGTGCTTGTTTGCCACCATAGTAGTATAAAAAAAAAAAGATTCCGCGCAGTTAGTAATTATTTGATTGTTTATTATTTTTAAGAATTATTCCCATTAGTTTGTAATAATGGAGTTGACATGTCTGAAAACAAAAACCCCAATATTTAGATTAATAAAAACTGATTTTTTATTTAAATCTATACTAATATTATAAAGCTAAAGAGTTTGTTTGTTTGAACGCGCTAATCTCAGGAACTACTGGTTCGAATTGAAAAATAATTTTTGTGTTGGATAGTCCATTTGTCGAGAAAGGCTTTAAGCTATATAACATTATAAAAATTAGTATGACTATTCAAAAGTGCTTAAATTTAAGTTTATTTGAATTAAGCATTTTCTATTCTATTCTATTCTATTTTTAATGTTATTACTTTAAACCGTAACTATGAATAGTTAGGGATTAAAGCAACACACAAGTTTCTTGCTCGTTCTTCTTGTGATGAGACAGCTTTCCGAACGAGTGGTAGATAAAAAACAAATTGTTATGACTATTCAAAAGTGCTTAAATTAAGTTTATTTGAATAAATGATTTTCTATTCTATTCTATTCTATTCTAAAAAGTAGCGGACTCACCCAATATTATATATATTTATTTGCAAATTTCAATATTCTTTTGTCTAGTGCCTATTCATATGTATTTATAATTACACTTATTTAGATAAGAACTTCATATTATTCATAATCTATAAGTGTTTATTACGAAGTAGAGATAAATTGTACTGTAACATCAAAATTATCTATGCTAATATTATAAAGTTGAATAGATGTTTTGTTTATGTAATTGAATAACATATATGAATGGCAATAGTTGTTCATGCATGGGACTTTCATTTAATGTTAGTCATAGACATCTTTAGAAGAAAACAATTTAAATATACTGGGTTTAAAAAAAAAATCAGTTG